CCCCCCATGCCCGCCGTGAGCGCGGGCGTGAGCTCACGCTTGCCCAAGCGCGGAACGCCCGTTCTTAACTGAACATACCGTAGGCACTATCAAAACCATGAAATTATCTGAAGAAAATTATTATCGATGAAGTGGGTGCTTGGGGCAGGCGTAGGCGTATGCGTGGCTTAAGTAAGTAATTGCCCCGTACACTTTTTTGGCAACCAAATGTCTGGTCTGATTTAGAGCAGTCACTCAGACAAAGTTTCGCCACATGATTTAATACACCACGATACCGCTTTATGGGCGTGCGGTGCCCCGAAAACAATCACTTTAACTCGCTGAATCCTAGAGCAACTACGCCGTTTGTAGGCAAAACGTGAGACGGTATTGTGGCAAATGTTTTCGGCCACTACGCATCTAATAAGTCCCCATTATTATGTCACATATACGGCCGCCTGGATCGGATCGTGTCTCCTGGGCTCCTTAGTGCTGGACACCTTTCTCCCCTTTCTCCCGTCGCCGCGTGAGATCCCTCCGGTACCGACCGAACGGCAGACCGAAGTATTATTGCACTCATTTCGCCGCGCAATGACACGCAATGCAAATGACACCTCACAGGCCTGGCCAAGGGCGCCATGGGGCTGCGCTGGGAGCGCGCGCAGTACTGGCAGACGGAGCGCTTCCGGCTGTCGGCCTGGGAGCTGCGCACCGACATCGAGGACCTGCAGGAGGAGGCCGCCGACAACTGGTGGGACCGGCTCATGGCGCGCTGCAACAGGAAGGGCTTCATCTTGGTGGGGCCCGTGGCGCACCGCAGGTCAGTGCTGCTCGGCGGTGGCTGATGGACGATTGTTGGCTGCGCCGACCCCCCCCCCGCCCTCAGCTCGGCGTTAATCAGGCTGAAACAAACAGCCAACTCCGCCGCACAAACCAAACTTGCGGAGTAAGAGGGCAAGGACGTCGGGGTTGACCGGCCAACTTTGCCCTATGGCCCTCGCGGTCTGAGTGACACCGCTAAAATTAGAAATCGGCGAAAGGTGGGCGCGTCTGGGGGGGCGAATAGAAGACAGTGCAGACTGGAGGAAGCGTCGAGGGATGGCTGCGAGGTGGGAGTGGGGTATAGGGCATGCTCATTTCCAATCCAAGCCAAACGATTCATGAGCGCTACCTTACTACGGAAACCACGAATAAACTAAATATTTCAAACATGATCTTGCACTAGTGTACATTGTGCAATTGATGAGCCAATGGACCGCCTGGCGCCTGGTAGGTAGGCAACGGCGGCTAGTGTAGACACGTATGTACGGCGGGCTGGCCTACTCTACCCAGTGTCAGGGGCTAGGGGGTGCCGAACATTTCAAGACTTTTTTCGAATCGTCCAATACTGCAATGAACAATTTTCTAAGCTTCATAATTGTCAACTTGAACTTGTTCATACCCAAAAACATTAACATTGAATTTAGTGAGTCAAAACCGCACCGACTCACAAGTGAAAAGTTGAGGTGTACGCATTTTCTCGTACTGATTACCTCCGCGGTTCGATTAGAAAGTTGTCAAGTTGAGCTGCCACAACGGGATGCAGATAACGAGGCAGATAAAGAGTTCTAGGAATACGACTAGTTCGCTCCGGATGTGTATGCAATCCACTGCTGCCTAGCTACAAAACAGGGACGTCGCCGCTCCGCTCCTCGCAGGGACGTCTTGCTGCTGATCAACGTGCTCATCTTCTTCCTGGTGCCGATCTCCTTCCTGCTGTCCGTGCTGCGTCTGCCGCTGGCCACCTGCTGCGACGCCTGCGAGCGCCAGTGGCCGCCTCCGTCGGAGGACCTGTACCATCTGCCCTCCGGGTCGTCATACCGACCCCTGTCCTCCGGCGCCACGCCCTCCAGCTCTTCGGCCGCCCCTATGGCGTCCGGCACCTCGGTGACGGACAGCTCGGGCGCGGGACTCGGCGCCCCCAGCACCACCTACTCCTACAGCAGGCACTCGGTACGACCGCGGCAACCTCGGCCTCCACTCGTTTTCACGTACGGCCCCGTGGAGCTCCCGGGTGGGTGGCGGATGCAATCCCGCTCCGCCCCACCTGTCCAAATGTTCCCCCCTTTTTTTGCCTCTTTGCTGATTTCACGGCAGCGCGGCGAACAGAACGTGCTTCGCATTGCGGAATGCATACGGCCCGGGCCGGCGCGGCGGCAGCAGCGGCGGCCGTATCCACGTTAATTGGAGGGGAGGACTGTAATCGGGGGCGCAGTCAGGGGCCCGGCCCGGGCCCGGGCTGGGGGCGAGAGGTGGCAAGCAGTCAGAGTGGGGCGAGAAATTAAGCCGGGTGGGAATCGTGAAACTGATGCTTTTTGCTAGCGTAATGCCATTTCGAATGGCCGGATTGAATTGCCCAGTGGCGACAGCGACGCCCGCGCCGCCCGCGCCGCCCGCCTCCAACCCCGTCAGCAGCAGCGCGCGGCAATCCAACCAAATGGTGGGCGATGGCCAGGGCATTTTTTGTTGCTCTGCCCTACTGATTGTACCGAGCTTTCAGCAATGGGGCCGGCTGCCGCCCGCTCCGCCGCCCTGCCAGCAGTATGCCAACAAGCATAAGCGCACTGCGGACGTAAAGTGAAAAGTACTGATAGACCTGAGGGAGGACTCCCCTCAGCCCGCGTGCATCTGTGCAGCAGCATCCAGGCAGCATCGGCTCCTCGGGATTACAATATCATCCGTCGGCCGTGTCTATTCACAGACCGTTATGCACCCCCCCCCCCCTCTTTTCCCCCCTGCTCCTCTTTCTTTCGCGAATCCACTCGCTCGCACCATTTCCATTTCAGCGTCGATAAATTACTTTCAGCACTCCCGGGTCGGCACGGCACGACCCCATTGCTCGTTGCCTGACGCAGGTCGGCGGCGGGGGGCTGCCCGGGACAGGGATAGGGCGGGACGGGCGGGACGGGCGGGACCCTCGGGGCGGCGTCGGCATCGAGGTAAAGTGAGAGGCGAGGCGCGGAGTAGCGCCGCGGCGCCGCCCGCACGTCCCGTCGCTGCCGCGCGGAGTACCGACGTCGGAGCGCGGAGTAGGGACGGCGCCGCTCGACGCCCGCAGTAACGTCGTCTGTGGTCGCGGTGGCCCCCAGCTGCTCCAGCCACACCAGCAGCGCGCGCGGCCCGCCAGGGACTCCAGCTCGGCGCCGACCATCTCCTACGCCAAGCCGGTCCAGGTCCAGGTGCTGTGCCAGCGGTATCGTAGTGCGACGCATGCCCTGCTGTCCAACTCACGACTCACTAACTTGCCTTAGAGCTCGGTGCACTTCAGCGCGCCCGCACCACCTCCTAGGCCCGTCCCCACTCCCGCCCCCGAGCCCGCACCCGCGCCTTCTCCACCTGCCTCGTCCCGCCGGTCCTACAGCTCGTCGTGCCTGGGCACCGTGAGCGTGCCCTGCGTGGCCCTCGTGCAGGACACGCCGGACGAGTCAGACACGACGCCCGAGGAGTCGGCGCAGAACACTCCACTGATCACGTCACCGAGCAGGTCCCGGGACAGATCACCCGTAAGCTCAGCCTGGTCCACGTCCGATCGTATCGGCGCTGCTGTCTCCTGGATGACCCTTTCCTCCCGTTGTCGCCGATGAAGGACAGTGACCCCGAGCTGCCGCCGCCCCCGGCGCCCAGCAGAAACGCTCACCGCCTGCATCCGAGGTCGCCCCCGCTGTTCCACCGAGCACGCCCCCGCCCCCAGCACCACCCCCGCGTCCGCCGGAACGCGCGCTACCACCGCGGCTGCGTGCCGCCCTGGGCCGTGGAGCCGCCGCAGGGGGGCCGGCGCGGACCTGCCCGGCGGGACTGCGCCGTCTGTAGGCTGCTCGCCGACGATGGGCCCTCCTGACTGGGACCCAAATTCTACCCCGTGGGTCCTAATCGAGTCCATTAAGGGAAGGAGGCGACCAACCCTCTGACGCGACAGGGCGCGTCTAGCCATCGTCTGGGAGGGAAGAGTGTTGGGGTGGGGGTGGAACCGACGACATGAGCATGTTGCCTAGTGAGGCGTCGTACGTGCGTAAGGAGTACGGCGTGGGGGCGGCGGGGGCGGCGGAGGCACGCACTGTGGCCTTGGCGGCGGCGACCCAGCCTAACGCCTCACCTGTCCCGTCGTCCCCCATGGCAAGCGCCGCCCCCGCGACCGGCCTCACCCCCTGGCGCCAACAGCCCGCGTTAGCTCACGGAATTATCCAGAATAGACCGCCGCGAACGCTCTCCATGAGCCTCATCACCCAGGCAAGACGGAAAGTCCCGGACAGTCTATGCGGCGCGCCGCCCGTCCGCCCCGTGCCAGCCCCCCGTCTTGAAGGCTGCTGCTGGAGCTGCCCAGGCCCCAGGCAGGCGCGACCAGAACGCCTCGGCTGCCCACTCGTCTTGACCAGCCATGACGGCCTGATGCGAACCGACAGCGGCGCAGCGCGGCCATCGGCAGGGTGGGCGGCGCGGGTCCTGCTCTGCCCTGCCGCCTGCATCCGCGGCACCGGCCATGGCGACAGCCGGCCGCGGTTGCGCGGATCACACCTAGGGATGACAGCGAAACCATCACACTCATCAAATCAGCCTTTCAATTGACTTGGCTCGGGACAGTGGGATGCATAGTGTTTGAGGGCAGTATCCACTACATCTCCCCCCACACACGCGCAGACACACATTTAACACCAGATCTCCGTTGAGTCAGGTGAGGTACAAAGTTCGGGGGCGTCGTGTCCCTGCGGCATGATGTGGTCGCGGTGCGTCCCGCGCCGACCCTTAGCGACAGCGGGGTGGGCGGCGTTGGCGACAACTCGTCGGTGCGGTGCGTGGCGCGGCGCGGCGGTGGCGGCGGAGGGCCGGGGGTGCGTACCGCATAAAAAGGCCGGGACGCCCTGGAAGCGCCCCACTCGCCATGAGGACGTCGCCCCTCCGTGCCGCGGCCCCGGCCCCGCGCTGGCTGCTGTTGCTGCTGCTGCTCGTCGTGGTGCTCGCTGCCGTGGCCGAGGCCTCCACCAGAGGCCTGTCCGTGCGGTGCGAGCCGCTGCCCGAGCCGGAGGACTGCCTGTACGGCCTGGCCCGCGACCACTGCGGCCGCTTCGTCTGCGCCAAGGGCCCCGGCGAGCGCTGCGGCGGGCCCATGCACCTGACCTGTGGCGAGGGCATGTACTGCAAGTGCGAGCGCTGCATCGGCTGCTCCCTCAACACCTTCACCTGCTTCCTGGGCAGCGCCCTCTGCATGTAGGAGGGAGGTGAGGTCAGCGGGCCGCCGGGCCGCACCGGGGCCAGGGCCAGGAGGCTGGAGATGTGACACGTGGACCCGCCGCCGGTGCGTCGCAGCGCGCTTCTCTCTCCTCAAGCGACGCGGAATGGATTTTTGTCTTGTGAATTTATTATCCTCAAATATGTCGAAGTCAGGAAAACGGGCTGTGATTATTTGTTAGATCGTGTGAATGTCCTCACCATCTGTGCCAAAGACCCGAAATGCGTTCAGAGATTGTGGCTTATTTGACGTATAATTATTGTGATTCGCGATTGTTACACGCGGGTAGACTTACGATTGGTGTCTTTTGTAAATGGATTTGCTCTCAGTAAAACATGTGACTGCAGGTACGATTATTTTCTTTTCAGTACCATAATATACATTCGTTTTTATCATTATAATTTCAAAATACCTCTCTGCAATTGACCTTTAAACGGTAACAATTATACTGTACATAAGATCATGTTGAGCATGTTAAAGCACGCACTCCAAAATGAGTCGTGCTGCATTCAAACATTCATCCACTCATTCACTGCAAAAATGTTCTACTATTGACAAAACATATTCAAGCACTGCACTGCTCGGCCGGATCATTTAGTTATTACACTGTTAAAAGAATGACCAAGAAACAATCACAAAAGTGTCTTAAAAGGTCACAACCCCAGCGGATAGAGACCTCAAAAAACTAACATCACAATAATTTGTTGCTGTTTGTTGCGGCCGCTCGAGTCGACTGGTCACACTCGAATCACCAAACCGAACACTTTCTAAATTTGGCAAGACTCGCCGTTGGTGGACATTTGAACGCCTCGGCGAATCCTTCGGAGTTCATCATCATGCCGTTTACCCTGGGAACAAAACAAAACAATGTATTAGAACACTAGCGTAAAATGTCGAAATTAAAAATCGCAGTGAGGGGTCACTTACCTCTCCCGGAATGGCGTGTGCTCATCGATTTCGACCATGGTGACGTACCACTCGTCGGAAATTTCATAGCAGTAGTTCTGAAAATAGAAGTGAGGCGCCGCCTCTATTAGCATTTCTGACAAGCCCCGTCCATCCGACTGGAAAGGACTTAAGAGAGCAAGAGTGCTTCCGAAACTGGACACTCGTCTGTCCGTCCACGACCAACAATGTTGTGCGGGAGGCCCGGCCCCAGTGCACTACACTGTAAATCCGGGGTGTCCAGCAGGTAGGCGACATAAGTCGCCTGACCCGCAAAACTAGGCAACTTATGTCGCCTATCTACTGGACACGTTCTGGTCTTCCGGGTAATTGCATTGGGCACAATAGGTGGAATGCCTATGGACTCATACAATGCCATTGCCCAGAAGACCAGAACGTGTCCAGCAGATAGGCGACATAAGTCGCCTAGTTTTGCGGGTCAGGCGACTTTGTCGCCGACCTGCTGGACACCCCGGATTTACAGTGTACACAGTGACGGGTTTACATACCTGAGCCACCCCGACGAAGAACAGCTGGTGCGGCGTGAGGTCCACCGAGGGGAGTCGAAAGTCCGGGTTGGCCCTGTGGAGGTCGAGCCAGGCGTCGTACGATACCTGCAGCGCCCCGATGTCCGCCAGGTTCTCGTTGCTGGTCACGTTCCAGTCGAACTGGAAATGAAAGCCGGTGCGTTAGATAGGCGTAGGCGTGCAAGCGGCTGCGCGGTCCAGTCGCGGGGCGGTGACGCAAGATTCAAGATTCGAATAAGAGCGCGAAACGTGCATTCCCCGGCGGCGGGGGCGAAACTCACCGCCACGCTGTGCGACCTGCCGAACAGGCGCACCGAGTGCGAGAAGGTGGCGGCGTACTGGTTGACGAGGCACTGGATCCTGGCCGTGAGCTTGAGCCGGGTGGCCGGCGTCATCCAGCTGGCCGCCTCCCCGCGCTCGTCGAAGTGCCAGCCGTTGATGTCGAAGCTGTGCATGAGCTCGTGCGCGAGCGTGTTGCCCAGCTGGGCCAGCCACAGGTAGCGCGGCGCTATCCCGTACGTGTAGAGCTGCGACACCATGGCCAAGGGCACCACTGCGGGCAGAGCAAGCGTCTCTGAGGGGCGGAGTATGGCCGAGCGGGCGGGGGAGGACCGCCCGCGGCGATACACCAGGGGCCTAACCAGCGGCCCAACCCCTGGCAGAGGCCTCCCCCACCCACTCTCTCTCTCTCTACTATCTCTGTCTGTCGCCCGGCCTCGCTCTCCGCCGAATATATACATTTAACTAGTCACCCAATTTGCTTCAGTTTACTCTGGGGTCCACCTTCTTCCCCCTCCCCCTCAAAGAAAGTGTCCTTACCGACGGCATTGGACGTTGGGTCGTAGTAGGCGTTGGCCACGAAAGGATACGCCCAGCTAAAAAATGAAACAGAGAAAAAGAACATGACAAATTACTTCTAATTTCAGTCAGGCCAGGCAGCTAATAATTTGGTCTCTGTTCCTTTGCAGTTGTACTCTACTCTACCACACGCATGCGTGGCGGGTTTGCACGGCCGCAATCGCATTGGCGACCCACCCTCCTCACGCGTGCGCGCGCGCGCGCGGCACAGTACAACTATGAAAGAGGGAGGGGGCGGGCTTAACGGCCCCCTCGCCTCGTCTGGAAGGTCAACCGGTGCGTCCCGAAGCTGTGTACTCACGACACGGGAGGCGGGGCCTGGCTGAGTTTGGTCATGTCCATTCTTCCCTCCCGGAAACGGCGAAACACGTTCCCGAAGAAGTCGTTGGGGTCGACGGTGATCTATAACACGGGACACAGTCCTTCATGATCAGGCCGCAGCCACGACATCATTGGGCGAGCACCGCCGCCGGAGCTCCCGGCCCTGCCGCTCACCTTGGAGAGCTCCTTCTCGACCCACGTCTCGTTGAAGAACCTGGGCGGCGCGAGGAAGCGGCCTTTGAGGTTGCGCATCTTGGTGAGCGCGGCGGCGCGCGAGTCTTCGTCCATCCAGGGCACGTGCTGGAGCCGCTTCACCGTCGTGTCCTTGAGCAGTTCGAGCAGGTTGGCCAGCTGCGGAGAATACAGGCCGACGGTCAGCTTTGGGCCGGACGAGCATCATGGGACAGAATCTGCCCGCCAACAACTCCATGATGGAGTATACTCTCATGACGACTCACGCTCTCCCGGAGGTTCTCGAGGTCCTCGTGCGGCCACACGCTGGCGTACAGCGCGCCCACGGCCTTGGGGAACACCTGCATCGTCACCCGGGTGCACTTGACGGCCCAGTCCGGAGCGTCCGTCACGTCGACGAGCTCGAGCAGCGAGTCGGTAGCGAAGATCATGAGCAGCCCGTTGTGCACCACACTGCAACAAATGTAGAAATTAGGTTTTGAAAAGTAACTTCTTTAAAAATGCTTGTGACGTATTCGCTGTCCCACTTGTTCCTTCGCTTACCTAGGCTGGAAGCGGGGCAGCAGTCTTGCCACTTCGGCGAGGTACTGCGGTGGCAGTACGTACACCGTCAGGTTGTCTTGGATCTCCGTGGCGTTAAACACGTCCATGAAGATGCCCTTCCAGTCAAGCTGCACAACCATAAACGATACACATGATGACTGCGTTTTCAAGAAGACATTTTTTTACAGTTTTTTTTCCAGTGCTGGTTCTGATGTAATTATTGCGCATCACTTACGAAGTCAAACTTTTTCTGCATCTCGTCCAACGTGAAGCTCATCTCGATGAACGATGACAGGTCTTTGGTCGTATAAAGGAGATTTTTCTCCCGAGGAATCGCCTTGAAGGGAGTAAAGCACAAAAAAAGTAATTTTCCGCGGCTAAACCGCCGATGTGGCCCCAATCCGTAATAACGAGCGGCTATTTCGGCGCTCAACTCACCTTGGCGAGGGACGTGACGAAGTGCAGGATGGACTGCGCCATGGCCCGGCGGTCCTTCTGCGACAGGCTGGACGGTAGGAAGATGCCGAGCAGGCGGTCCACTCGGTACAAGCGCTTCTCGTGCAGCCTCTCCTGTGAGGGCATGCGGGGTATAATGAGGCCGACTGCATTCCGAACAACCTTTGCGCTTTATCGAAGAGCTAGACGGAAAGGGCGCTCCTTTGGCAAGCGCAGCAGCGCAGCCGCCCTGCAGGATAAGCGCCGCGCGCTGCAAGCCGACTAACCTTGACGTAAGCAAAGGCGAAGGTATCGCCGCTGCTGCTGCTGCTGCTTGAGCTGCTGTTTGTGCTGCTGTTGCCCGCCTCGCTACGGCGCCGGTGACGGACATTGCCTAAATTGGCGTAAAAGTCAGGCTGGAAAATATTCAAAGCACAAACGCACGGCACTTAGAAGCGCGCCTCTTGGGGAGTGGCTTGGGCGGCCGCCGGCCGCGTGCTTTTTGTGAAGCACTCTCTGCTGCTCACCCGCCGCCACCCGCCCCGGCCACCGGCGCGGGCCCCTGCAGTGTGGCCATGCCATGCCCCCGGTATCGACGCCGTCCTATCCGCAGTCTGTTTTATGGGGCGGCCAGAGGGGTGTCCCATAGCCTCTACAGGCGACCTCTCTCACACACACGCGCGCGCGCGCACACACACACACATGTGCAGAGAGAGAGAGAGGG